TGTTAGTGTACAGTGTTCCAGATTACTTTTCTGGAAACTGCTAATGTGGTTCCTGGCTTGGTTTTGTCCCATTTCTTAATTAGGTGAAACAACACACTACTTGTAATTTAGTTGCATTCATCAATGGAAGAAATGGCAGGGTTCTTATAGGAAAACCACTGTGCTCACCACAAACACAGGTAACGCGGTGGAATGGTATCTTTCCTTTCTGAAATTTGTATTTCAACTCTTACCTGAACCTAAGAAAAATAAGTAGGCTTGTTTTTTCATTCACTTATTTATTTAATAAATAAACATATATTGAGTTCCCATCCTGGCATCTGTATGAATTGCTTAGAATATGCAGATTTGATATTATTTTATTCTTGAAGACATCCTGACATGCTAATTGAGTGAGATAGACACATAAGCAGATTCCAAGTGTCATGTAAGAACTCTAGTGTTGGTGTACCCAGAGAGCTCTGAGGGCACGGAGGAAGGACTCCGAACGTACACGTGTCGGGGTCTGATTACGGACCTGCAGGACAGGCCTGGAAAGGATTTTGAAGTTGGTAGGCGTTGACCAAGGAAAGAAGAGAAGGGAAGGCTATGTGGAGGTGAGGGGGGTGGCGATAGGAAGTGAGGAGGCGAAAATGCATGGTCCCATGGAGAACTGCATCTGGTTGTGTGATACCGAGAGCTCAGGACTGGAGCAGAGTGAGAGCAGGGATGGGAAACAAAGTTGGTGAGATCAGTACAACGTTCATTTATCGAGTGGTTTTTATGAATCAAGTACTTTACATGTGTTGGTATTTAATTGTCTTTAAGGAATAGATTTTATTTTTAGAGCCATTTTAGGTTCACAGAATAACCCAATGGGAGGTACAGGGAGTTGCTATATATACTCTGTCCCCACACATGCACAGCCTCCCTCACTGTTAACACCCCCCACTGGAGGAGAATGGGTGCAAATGCACACTGACACATCGCTATCTCTGAGTCCACAGTTCCCATTGGGTGGGGTCACTTTTGGTGTTGTATGTTCGATGGGTGTGAACAGATGTATAATGACATGCATCCATTGTAATCTCATACAGAATAGCTTCGCTGCCCTAAAAGCCCCCTGTGCTCTGCTTTCCACTCCTGCCTCCCCTTCCCCTGGCAACCACAAATCTTTTTATTGCCTCCATAGTTTTGCCTTTCTCAGAATGTCAAATGGCTCCTTTCACTTAGTAATAGCAGGCATCTAAGGTTCCCCCATGTCTTTTCATGGCTTGATAGCTCATTTCTTTTTAGCATTGACTCATATTCCATTACCTGGATGGGCCACAGTTAATTTATCCATTCACCCACTGGAGAACGTCTTGGTTTGCTTTCAAGTTTTGGAATTTATAAGTAAAGCTGCTGTAAACATCTGTATACATGTTTCTGTGTGGGCATGTTTTCAGGTCCTTCAGGTAAATACTAACGAGTGCAATTCCTGGGCCCCATGGGAAGAATATGTTTAGTTTTGTAAGAAACTGCCAAACTATATTCTGAAGTGCCTGCTCCTTTTTGCATTCCCATCAGCAGCGAAGGCGGGTTCCTGTTGTCCCACTTCCTCGCCAGCATTTGGTGCTGTCCGTGTTCTGGACTGTGGCCACTCTAGTGGGTGCGCGGTAATATTTCCCTGTGGCTGTAATTTGCATTTCCCTCTGACGTGGTCTAGAGCACCTTTTCAGATACATACCTGCCATCTGTATATCTTCTTGGGATAGGTGTCTTTCCAGCCTTTCACTCATTTTTAAAAGCAGGTTGTTTTCTCCCGCTGGAAGCACGAGGGGATTTTTCTCAGATAATCACTGTGAGGATTTGGTTGAGCTCCTGGAGGCAAAACTGTAACAAAAGTATGGGAACCTGTTATGACTGGGTCCCCAGGCAGTTTCCTACTCTGAGATTCTCCACACTGAACATTCAGCAGTTCCTTAGTTACAGGTGTTCCTTCCTGGGCCCCGGTTCCCTCGGAGTTTTCTGCTTCCGGGTTGTGAAATGCCCGTATATGTCTGTCTTGTCTCTCCAAAATTGAGGGCCATGCTTTATGACTCCACTTGTCTGATAAATCTAAGAGGGATTTGTTGATTTTTTTCAGTACATTCTGCTTTTGAATTATTCTTTGGACACGGTGGCAACTTCCAAGTTCCTCACCTGACTCATTTTATTGATGAGTCAGAGTGAACGTATGACTTATTCTTTTCTAAAAAAAAAAAAAATATATATATATATATGTATTTTTATTTATTTTAGAGAAGAAGGGAGAGGGAGAGAGAGATAGAAACATCAATGATGAGAGAGAATCATTGGTTGGCTGCCTCCTGCACGACTCCTACTGGGGATCATGCCCTGACTGGGAATTGAACCATGACCTCTTGGTTCATTGGTTGACGCTCAACCACTGAGCCACGCTGGCTGGGCTATAACTTACTCTTCAGACAGGAAGTCCTTTAAGAGTTAAAGGGGACGCTGTTAAAAATTATTCCAGCCCTGGCAGGTGTGGCTCAGTTGGTTGGGCATTGTCTAGTGCACTAAAAGGTTGCCAGTTCAATTCCTGGTCAAGGCATGTGCCCAGGTTGTGGGCTCGATTACCAGTAGGGGTAGCTCTCACATCAGTGTTTCCCTCTCCCTTTTTTTCTCTCTAAAAATTAATTTTAAAAAAAGAATAATTATTCTGGTATCAAATGTAAGCTGTGACGAATGTTTCTGCTATTGATGTGGTTACACCCGATGAGGAAACTATAATGTCTTGGAGCTAATAAGAGGCAGTGTTTGGGTCAGTGCTCTTGGCCTCTAGGCCGTATAAGAATCAGAACTTTGATGTGCTTTGGGTCTTTTCAAGGTCTTCATTAAAACTCATCAGAGCTCATCGTTGTGGCTGTTCTTTCCTGAAGAGAAACATAATTGAAACAATATCACACATTACTCATTAGCTCTTAACTTATTTATATTTTCCTTTTAGTTGGAGGGCAAAAATTTTATTAAATTACTCTTCAATTTACTTATTACTTTATCTAATCTCTTCTAAATCTGGGAGTTGTTCTCTGTCCCAGGATTCTGGGCTCAAAAGAGACATCTAATGAACTTGCCAAAGATAATCACTTGTAGAATCTAGCGAAGAATTGGAAGGCAGAAAAATATAGTGATTAAAAATGGAAGTAGGCTGCCTGGATTTCACACCCTACAGGCTGTGAGCTTTTACACAGCGTACTCGTTCTCTCCAAGTCTCCCTTTCCTCATCTGTGTAATAGAGGAAATAATAGTAGTACCTACTGCGTAGAGTTGTTTCAAGCCCTAGATGAGGCAGGCTCATAATCAGGGCTCAATAATTGGTCTCTATTACTGTTTTTATCTAAGTCTTCAGATTTCCAGTGAAGTGTTGCAAAATATGTTTCCTTGGAAACACTCTGGCCAAGGCTTTGAGATCTGTCTGAGTGTGTGTCTGCAGTCTGGTAGCAGGATTTCATTGGTGATTATAAGCTGCCTATTGCCTATTTGTACATCTAAACATGAAAAAGCCAGGGATCTCCTTGGGCACACCGCCAAGCATAGACTCCTTAGCCTTCATATAAACAAGGGATCAGTAAAGAAAATGCTTTTAAAGTTCAACTTTTATTTTAATTAATGTTCTAAATGTATGTAGCTTAAAACAAAAACAAAAACAAAAACAACCCCCTCAAAATAACAACAACAACAACAACAAAATACACAGTCCCAAAGGCTTTGAATCAAAGTATCAGTCCCTTCCCCATTCCTCCCAACTCTGATTACTTATTTCTAGAGGCTTCCACTTTCAAACATTTTAGCTTTTTCTTTTTGTATTCCCCTCCATACTTTTATGTGATCTTTTTATACTATTTCTTGATTAAAAAAAAAATCAGATATTCTTTTTTGACTTTCTGCTGCAGAGAAGATTCAGCTGTTCTGTATCCGTCTCCCATACCCACATATAGTTATACACACATGCATACACTTATCCTTCACTAATACATTTCACTAATGAATATGTATGATTCCTAAATGTTACTCACAGCTAAGCCATGCGGCAAATTATGATTACATTTCCATGATGCTGCCTTAGAGATTGATAGTTGACTCTCTGTTTGCATAATCTTCTATATGTCTGTCACTAATGCACCCCCAACCTCACCTTCGGAAGTTTGAAAACTCTTAATTCCTTCAAAGTGATTAGGTACATTCTATGGATCCTGTTATCATGAACCCAGTTATAAATAACTGGAATGGAGCAAAGGGAAGGCCAAATGGACACAAGCCCAGGAAAGTCCGAGTGACATAGGGAAGGTTCTTGTCTGCCAGTCACATCTGGGAACAGGTCATTGGCCAGAGTAGGTAGGGTGGCTGCTGCAAGCATGGGAAAATTTGAGGTATATGATCTCCTTAACAAAGGAGCTCTTTCTCTCGCTCTTGGTTCAGACTCCTGGCTGTGGGGCTCTCACATTCTGCATTTGCCCACATGGCCCAGAGCGATGTGGGCCTCACACACAATGGACTGATGGGTTGTCACTAGCTTAATGCTGTATTGGACCCAGCTCCAGAACTGGATCAATAATAAGCCTTGATTTTTTAGTGCGCTCTCTCATTGGCCTGTGTTTATGTGTTTTTAAAAAATGTCACACATAAAAAAATGTAAACATGCATGTTATGTGCAGTACCTGGGAGGAAATTTTAAGTGTATAATTGCCATGTATGCAAGATACCAAAATAAACTCATGACTTTAAAAAGTATTTGGTGATACAATTTTATTTTCCCCCTGTTGAGTAGAAAGTTAGCTCATGGATGGGTGGTTTCACAACTCTCCTCCTCATTCCATCGGAGTCCCCCAGACCGGCCTGAGGTAGCATATTAGAGAGAGGAGCAGGAAAGGGACCAGGCATATGAGTGCTGTATGCTTCACCTGGGGAGAACCATGTCTCTGCGATTTGCTCGTTTCCCTGCAGACTGTGCAATGCTGGGTTTGTTTGTACTTCAGGTCTGAGAACCATTGGCGTCATCACCAAACTGGACCTCATGGATGAGGGAACGGATGCCAGGGACATTCTAGAGAATAAGCTGCTGCCTCTTCGCAGGGGTAACGTACCGTGTGCCCCACGGGGATTCCTTGGATGACGAGGCAGAGAAACAATGGGCAGACCTGTGGGAGGCTTGGTTCTAATGCTGCCTCAGGTGTGAGGAATGGGCTTATGATTAGCTACAGTTTTTATGGAACAGACACGATCCAAGGGGACAACTATTCCTTAACAGAAACAAGAAAACAGAAAAAGGGAGGGGTTGGAAAGAAGCGTATAAATATTCAAAGACTGCATAAATATATACTCTTCTAAATCTGACTTACCTGCTCTGTGACAAAACTGCTAAGAAACATACTCTATTTAAAAAAAAATGTTTTAGAAAATTTATTTGAGAGAAAGGGGAAGGGAGAGAAAGAGAGAGAGAAACACTGATAAGAGAGAATCATTGATTGGCTGCCTCCTGCACACCCCCTGATAGGGATTGAGCCCACAACCCAGGCATGTGCCCAGACCAGGAATTGAGACCGGAACCTCTTGGTTCATGGAACGCTCAACCACTGAGACACACTGGCCGAGCAGAAACATACTCTATTAAAATGCACAGAGCTTTGCCCTAACCGGTTTGGCTCAGTGGATAGAGCATCGGCCTGTAGGCAGAAGGTCCCAGGTTCGATTCCAGCCAAGGGCATGTACCTTGGATGCAGGCACATCCCCAGTAGGGGGTGTGCAAGAGGCAGCTGACTAATGTTTCTCTTTCATCGATGTTTCTAACTCTCTATCCCTCTCCCTTTCTTTCTATAAAATATCAATACAATATATTTTCAAAAATGCACAGAGCTTTTAAAGGCAAAGGACGTTATTATGATAATGCTAAAATATTGCCATTAGCCAAATCAACCAGCCTTTGTTAAACACTGATGTCTCAAGTTGAGTTTTGTAAACGAACCCATTCCTCAGGCCTTAATAATTTTGCCTTTCTTACTCAGCCTCTTTGAGAGCCTTGCAACCTTCCCAAAATAAACAACAAAGAGTTCCCCAAACACCATAGGTGTGTGTTCTGTTTCAGGTTACGTGGGGGTGGTGAACAGAAGCCAAAAGGACATTGATGGGAAGAAGGACATCAAGGCCGCCATGCTGGCGGAGAGGAAATTTTTCCTCTCACACCCGGCTTACAGACATATTGCCGACCGGATGGGGACCCCGCACCTACAGAAGGTCCTTAATCAGGTAAAAAATAAATGTGCTTTCAAGCAACAAGAACAGTTAAGGAAATATGTAAGTGACTATTGGAATTCATGTTTCTTATTTTTATATTCTTTTTTTCTTAATGTAAGACATGCAGCTTAAATGATAGGAATTTAAAAAATAAATATAAATATTTAGAACCACATTGTTACTATTCTCTTGAATAGAATCATCCACCTTAATATTATTGAAAGAGCAGTGCACAAAGCAGGAAGACCTATTTATTGAGGAGAGAGAACCAGGAGTACACATTTAAAAAAATATATATTTTATTGACTTTTTAAACAGAGGAAGGGAGAGGGATAGAGAGCTACAAACATCGATGAAAGAGAAACATTGACCAGCTGCCTCCTGCACACCCCCTATCAGGGATGTGCCTGCAACCAATGTACATGCCCTTGACTGGAATCGAACCTGGGACCTTCCAGTCTGCAAACCGATGCTCTATCCAGTGAGCCAAACCAGTTTCGGCTACATTTTATATGCAACCTGTTGAAGGCATAAGCCAGTGACCCAGCACCGTTAGGCTGGGGCCTAGAGGTAGAGGTAAGAGGAAGCACCTGTCTGGGCTGCAGAAGAGAGAGGAGGTTCGCAGCTGACAGGTACCTCTGAGCTCCAACGTCAGGCACCCCGCGTAGCTCTCCACTCCTTCATTTCCATCACGTTGTAAACTTAAGGTTTCTTTGGACAAGGTAAGTGATCTGATCACCCATCCTTGCCGGGTGTTGCTAGGCACATCCTCACTGGTAACATCGGCTGCATTTGGACAGGCTACCCCAGATGGCCCCCGCGAGCAAGTCTGAGACATTTTGAGCGTCGCCTCCAGCAGTAGAGGAGAGGGTCTGAGCTGCTCCTGACTACCTGTCTCTACATTCAGTCTCAGCTGTGTGTATTATTTCTCTGGTGTTGAGCAATTAGAAAAACAGTGAAGCAAAGCATGGAGGCATGAACAGGCTGACATGCCTCAATGTGGGGTTGGGGGAACGAGAAGAAATAAGCCAAAAAACTTACATACTTATATACATAGCCCATAGACATGGGCAATAGGGCAGTAAAGACCTGGGAGATGGGTAGGGGCTGGGATGAGGGGCAATAAAGAGAGGGGGAGAAATGAGAGATATCTGTCATACTCTCAACAATAAAAAATATATTAAAAAAAAAGTAAAAGAAAAACAGCGAAGGCCAAATTTTTGTCTCTCAAACTAATCTTCAACCTGTCATATGTGTGTGTGATATTCTGATTTGTTTTGTTTAGCAACTCACCAACCACATTCGAGACACCTTGCCGAACTTCAGAAACAAACTGCAGGCCCAGATGCTCTCCATAGAACACGAAGTTGAGGCCTACAAGAACTTCAAGCCCGAGGACCCCACCAGGAAGACCAAAGCCCTGCTGCAGTGAGCCCCTCTCCCTCCCTGCTCGGCCCCACAGTTTCTCCCCTTTGCTTCTGCCTCAGTCCATTATCCGTCATGCTATTTATGTCATGCGTAACAGAGGTAGCAGTCAAGTACATAAGGCTTTGTATAGATTATACAGTGAGCCTTGAATTTTTACATTTTCTTGAAGAATAATTGTTGTCATATATTTAATCAGTTGCTCATCACCATGCCCGATTTTACTGTTTTTATCATTGCATTCAGTGAATGAGTAATACCAATATGGTAACTCAGCAGGGGTGTTTTAGCTGTTAGAATGAGAAGTGGGCAGGGCTTCTGTTGCAATTGTCACCTAGACTGTCCACCTTCTCTCGGTGTCACTTGTACTTATCTCCCCCCCCCCAATCATTTTCATATGATGTGTGTATGTGTTTTTTCAGCGGAATGAGAACCAAGGATCTAATAGAAAAGTACATGCACAATGAAATTTCTTATCCTTGTCCTTAATGATTTTAATTAACCCTTTGAATATGCAAACATGAAAACTGCCAAGTATCTTTTTATTCCTTCACAATCTTCCCATCTTATCCCTGGTTACTAGGTTTATCCCTGTGGGGCCTTGGGATAGGATTGCAGCATTGTTAGAGAATGACCAGCTCCTTGTGTCTGTTACCCTGACTCCCTCTCCTGGTCCCTCCCAGCCTCATCTGTCCTTTATCCCTCTTCTGTAACTTGCCTCAGGGTCCTCTCAACTAGAAGACAACCCTTCACCTCCACCTCTACCCGATCCACCTATATTCCAGGACATATGAAGTCCATCTCCAAAGATAATGCTTGCCATCTCTCTTTTTTTCTTTTAAAGATTTTTAGAGAGAATAAGGAAGAGGGAAGGGAAAGGGAAAGAGACACATTGATGTGAGAGTGAAACATTGATTGGCTGCCTCCAACCCAGATATGTGTCCTGACCAGGAATCAAATCAGCAACTTTTTGGTGCGTGAGATGCTGCCCAACCAACCGAGTCATATCGGTGATGCTCGCTACCTCTTATTGGCTCTTTCTCCCTTTGCAGTCTTGCAATCAAAATATCCTTAATTTGGTTTAAAACGCATAACTGCTTTTTTTGTGGGGGGATTTCTAAATGCTCAAATTATTTAGGTAGCATTTTATATGCTCATCTTATCCATTTAAAGAGGAAATAAATTTTTCTTGAATTCACCTCTTTCCTAGTTCATTTCCCCCCCCTTTTTATTCTTAAGCACCTATAAAAAATCTTCAAGTTACAGAGAAATGAAAGCTATTTCTGTTTAGGCCCTAGGTCACATGTGTCAAACACAAGGCCTGCGGGCCAAATCCGTCCCGCCAGGCCTTGCAATGTGGCCCGCACCGCGCTGTCATCACTGCACTCCGCTGCGTTTCCATCACAATGACAGTTTATGACTGTTCAGTAAACCATTCGGCCCGCGATTTAGGCTGGATTTTAGATTTTGGCCCCTTCTCTGATTGAGTTTGACACCCCTACCCTAGGTCTTCATCTTTTATTTAAAAACTAGAGGCCTGGTGCACGAATTTGTGCACATTGAAAGGAAAATAATTAAAAGAAATATTTTAGAGGCCAGAGAGGTTGGCCGGCTTGGGGAGGGATCACGGGAGAGCTCCAGAGTGTGTCCAGCCTACTTTGCCTAGTCTCCATTAGTCAGACCCTAGCAGCAAGCTAACCTACCAGTAGGAGCATCTGCCTCCTGGTGGTCAGTGCGCATCATAGCAACTAGTCAAGTGGTCGGACATTTAGCATATTAGGCTTTTATATATATATATATATATATGTTTTTGTTAATTTCACAGAGGGAGGGAGAGAGAGAGAAACATCAATTATGAGAATCATTGATTGGCTATCTTCCTATACACTCCCTATTAGTGATTGATCCTGCAATCCAAGCATGTGCCCTTTCTGGGAATCAAACCATGACCTCCTGATTCATAGGTTGAAACTCAACCCCTGAGCCACGCTGGCCAGGCTAGGTCATCATCTTAATATCCAACCAAAACTATTGTGAAGACTGGTCTTGCCTCTGTGACTCCATTGGATTCAGATTACAGACTTTTCCACAGTTAGATTTTTCCCTGGTAGATGAGTGATTCAGTTCCTTCCTTTGTCTCCCCATTCTCTCTTCCTTCTTTCTTTCGTTCCTCCCTTTTTCCTCATCTTCCTTCCTCTCATCTCTGTATATTCTGCTTGGCATCTGGATCTGGAGATTTAACAGTGGTTAAGAATTTTGGCCTCAAGAAGAGGCCACAGTAGAGCAGATAAAACAGACATTTAGGAAACTAATCTGATAAATGTGATATCTCTGGTAAGTATAAAATATTAATGGATCCTAGATGAGAAAGCAGAAGTAGTTTCATGGAGCAAAGGTGTGAGTTCCCAGAGAAATCGAATGTGAATAAGACTCTGAAGAAGGGAGGAGTCTGTCAGGTGGGAGAAGGAGGGCGAGGATGGTGTGGCCTTGGGTGTTCCGTATGCTAGCTGCAGTGGCAGGATAAGGAAAGAATGGCAGGACATACATTTTCCTAAAATTTCTCATTGTTATAGCATGTGTCAGACATTTATTATACTCTTCTAGGTGTTTATTTTATTTATTTATTAATTATTTTTTAAATATTTTATTGATTTTGTACAGAGAGGAAGGGAGAGAGATAGAGAGCTAGAAACATCGATGAGAGAGAGAGTCATCGATCAGCTGCCTCTTGCACACCCCCTACCGGGGATATACCCGCAACCAAGGTACATGCCCTTGACCGGAATCGAACCCGGGATCCTTCAGTCCCCAAGCCGACGCTCTATCCATTGAGCCAAACCGGTCTCGGCTATACTCTTCTAGGTGTTTAAAGAATTAGATTAGCATGAGCATATCGTGGATATAGCTTTGGCTACATCTAATTATATTCTAGAGTTCCTGGCTTAATAATTTGCAGTTACTATCCATTTAGCCATGATTTTGATAAAAGAGGCTGCAAGTATTAGATGATTAGGATTTTTTTTCCTATCAGATTTTGAATTTGAAAGTAGTTCCAGCATGATAAAATTAGTGTTTCTAAATCCAGTCATCACCAATGTATATGATCGTTTTCTCTGATGCGGAGGGCGGGGAAGAGCTGCTTGGGAAGGGGACTCAGCTAGAGCCATTGGAACACCTGGTGTGATGTAGGAGCTGTGGCTTGTTTGTTCTCCGTAAAGATTTATCGCTTAATTTGAATTCAAGTATTTTAAAATGGCATTCTATGACTGCAATGAAATGGACAGAATGCATTGAATGGCACAGATATTTAGAATACATTTTAATTAAATGTCTAAAATAAGTGGGGGAAAATGTGTATTTCAGATCATTGCATTTTGAGTGTGGAGCAAAGTGCAGTGCTGATTCTGCCAGTAGGTGCCACTAAGAACACCAGGAAAAGGTTTCTAGGCGATAACCACAGTAAATTGAAATGAGAAATGCAGAGACTGGTTACTTCAACTGGAATTAATTTCTCTCTCACACTTGCAGGATGGTCCAGCAGTTTGCCGTGGACTTTGAGAAGAGAATTGAGGGCTCAGGCGATCAAGTAGATACCCTGGAGCTCTCAGGGGGTGCGAAGATCAATCGCATCTTCCACGAACGCTTTCCTTTCGAGATAGTAAAGGTTCGTACCAAACGTTGCTTTCCCCCGTTGGTTTCACTTCATTTCCATATTCTGTTCTATATAACTTCATAAAATGTTACGGGGGTGGCATGGGACTAAGGTAGTTCTTGGAACGAAAGCCTCCATAATCAGGTAATGAAATTTAGGAGAGAAATAATTTCTTACTGATGGCTCCAATTTTATTCAATGAGATTTCAAATTATTTCAACAAATGCTAATTGATTGCTTATGAGGTCGACTTATTGTCTAATTAATTTAAACATATTTCTTGCGCAACTATTCTAGGTGCCAGTGATTGGGATAGAGACACATTCTGGTGGGGGAAATAGACAAAGTTAAAGAGCTCTCAAATATGAGAGAGAGAGAGAAAGAGGGAGAGAGAGAGAGAGAGAGAGAGGGAGGGAGGGAGGGAGGTGGGGGAGCCACTTTTGATGTCACATTCAGGCAAGGTGTCTCTGAGTAGGAGACATTGAAAACATGAGCACAGTGGTGTGAAGAGGTCAGCTGTGAAGATGGAAGGAGGGAGCTGGAGGAAAGAGGGTCATTCAAGATAAGTAGCTCAGGATAAGGCCCTAAAGGGAGCACCTGTAGCAGGTAAAGAGCAGATGGGGCTGACCAAGGGAAGGGTGTAGGAAATGAATTTCAAGGAAGAAAGTGACCAGTTGTGATGGATTGGTGACTTGGGAAGTAGGGTCCACAGGGCTCGGACTGAATCTGGGGGATGCAGGAAAGAGAACATTCAAGATGTCTCCCGAGGTTTCGGCTTGCATGGCTGCGCACGTTGGTGCCATGAGATGAGGAAAACAGGCAAAGCCGAGCTTGTGTGTAAGCGTGAGTCCTGTTCCGGACACGGCGCTCAGGAGGCAGCTGAGTGGCTCAGGGACTAGGCGACTTGCTGCACTACAGAGGCGGGTGCTTATGTCTTGGTGTGGGAGGCAGATGGGTAAACAGAGCGTTTCATTAAAATGTGCTAAGGACAGTGGTAAACTTCAGCCCAGGGTGCTATGGAAACAGCCCACAGACAGGAATCCCTGCCCAGAGCTCAGGGAGCCCGGCCTGAATGCCGAGTCTGGAAGGATGAGCAGCTAGTCAAGCGGGAGGGGGTGAGGGAGGGGAAGAGTTTTCCAGACAGAAGGGGAGGCCTGGTGAAGGCTGAGCTGTGCAGCCACGGGGTAAGGGGAGGGAACACAGCAGTTCACTGTTGTGTGGCACCAAGTGCATGGGGAATCGGACAGACAGTGAGGATGGAGAGGCCAGATCTCAGGAGGCAGGCCGAGCCACTTGCTCTCTGGTTGCCCTTCTGAGTCTAAGCTCCACGCTGCTCTGGTCGTATCCCCCCACTAATTCCAGGCCCCTAGACCTTCAGGGAAATCTCCATACTGCAATCTGCCCTGTGCTGGATCAGCAAAATATGATGTATTTCCTCTTATGAAGAGGCCTTGAGCTCAGGGAGGAAAGACAGCCATTGTCCATCTCAGCACAGCCGGACTGCGATTGCACATCCGGTGACACCCTTTATTCATGCCTTTGTCTGTGAGGACATCTCCTACATTTAGCAAGAGAATGAAAAATTACAGATTTCAGTCAAAGTGGCCAGATTTATGCCCAGAAGGCACCCTTGATACACGGCACCCCCACCTTAAAACGAAGTTGGAATCTGCTGCACCAGAGATCAAACTCCCAGAAGCCCCTCCTGTCCTCTGTTGCCTCAAACTTTATATAAACAGATGTTTTGGCCATCTGGGTTTACGTTAGGGAAGACACGAGCGTCCATTTATTAACAGTGAAGCCAAGCTATTCTCACTCTTTAATACATTCAGTAGTGTTATTACTCAACGGAATTAGGTGTCCTAACTGCGGCTCTTCTTGCACCCGCAGATGGAGTTCAACGAGAAGGAACTGCGAAGAGAAATAAGTTACGCCATCAAAAACATACACGGCATCAGGCAAGTGACCCCACACCCCCCGCCTTCCGCCCCGGCTAAGAGAAGAAGGAGGCTTATGAACCACTAGCGAAGTAGCTTTTCACCATCTGAGCCGAGCAGAACACGGAGCTGGGAGGAGGAAGTAGGGAATCCTGGTTTGGGTTCAATGGTTAATTCCCGGGATCGTCCTTCTCGGTCTTTTCCAATTAGAAAAAACAGAAACACGCCTGCACTCGCAGCCCTGCGAGCTGGACCCCGGGACCCTTGTTCTGCAGAGCCTGCCTCGCAGGGAGGGAGGCCTGACTGGCTCATAAGTCATCGTTACTTACCCGGAGACAGGGCAGATTGCTCTTGGCTGGAGTTGTGGAGCCAGATTGGGAAAAGATTAATGAAGGTGGTAACTTTTGAGTCGAACCTTGTCTGTTTAGAGGACAAGAATGATTTCAGCTGGCAAAGGGGTGCTGTGCGTGTCTGTATCTGTGTCTGTGCGATGTCTCCCTCTGTGCGTGTGCATGTGCGTGTGTGTGTGTGTGTGTGTGTGTGTGTGTGTGTATGGGGCCGGGAGCAATGCAGTGAGACATGAGAGGATGGAGCGTGTCGGGACTGCAGAATGAAAGGGCTTGAAGTGCAAGGACCAGTGCTAGATGGAGGTGGTGACCTGCAGCCCGTGTCCACGGAGCGGGAGGTCCCACAGGTCGACTGCAGTTAGGAACGTAGACAGGAGAGCAGAGGAAGCGAGGCTGGGAGTGGCCCTGGTGCCTGAACTTAACCTTGTGTAACAGGGTATTATGTGCATTTACTTTCTTTAAAGAGCTAAGATAGAGGAGAAAAAGACTCCAAAACACACATTTCTGGAGTTCATGCCCAGAAGGCTAACAACATATGGAGCATATGTTAAATTGAGATGTCCTGAAGTCAGGTTGGCCGATAAAACTCAGGTGGCCCACTTCCTGGATTATCCCACAGGCGGGAAGCGCCCCCTGTCTACAGGCAGTGGTATCTCAGCTTTAATAGAGCGTGCTGCCTGCGCCCACGTGCCGGGCGCCCACGTGCCGGGCGCCCACGTGCCGGGCGCCCACGTGCTGGGCGCCCACGTGCCGGGCGCCCACGTGCCGGGCCTGGTCCGGGTTCTTGCTGGCCCTCTCCCTGCCGGCCTGAGTGCCGCTGCTGTGGAGCCGGGCCTTGCTCCTTTAGCCGGCGCAGCTCGTGTTTCAGCGTGTCGGTCAGGTGACAGATTTTGGGTCACAAAATATTTTTCCTTCGAACTTCACTTGGCTTTTAAAACTCCTTACGAATAACGTTTTTGTGGACTGTCACTGCCAAAGCTCAGCGATTCCGCGTTGTAGGTTTCTGATGCCGGTGCATAGCAACGGAAGAGATGGGTGGTTGCGATGATTCTGGAGTTCCTTTACTATTGTAGAAGGTGGTGCAGCCCTGTGAGTAAGACATCCTAACGGCACGCCTTTCTAGGCCCGAAAGTACACAGGTGGGAAGTGATGCTCCCGGTGGATTCTGTTAGATTTTCAAGTAACGGAAACCTCCCTTGCCCCGGAGGACCGGATGGCTCCTTCTCCGTCTGGAAATGCTGAGAACCGGAGCTGAGCAGGCCAGGAGGACGGTCCTTGTGGACAAACACAGGCAGCGCGATCGTGACACTTGCTGCCCCTGCAGCCGGGGGCCTAAGCACGTGCTCCGATCCCTGCTGAGTGTCGGATGTGGGGGTTCGAAGAGCAGGGCCTGGGCGGCAGGAGGGATGGGCGGGCGCTGCAGGACGTGACCCTATGATCCGGGCTGTGCAGTGCGGGCAGGTGTGGACGGCTGACGGGGCGGGGATTCCGAAGTGAACGTCGCAGACGAAGGCAGAGACATAAACGAAGAGTGGGAATGTGTTTGTGGGAAGGCGGGTGGCCCGATGTGGTGGGCACACAGGGTGCACGGGAGGAAGGAGGGAAATAGAAGGAAGGGTAGGGTCAGAGGGGGACATTTGTTATGTGAGGCTGAACAGTGTGGATTTAGAGGCGTGTAGGCCGGAGAGGTGAGAGAGGAAGGGAAGCGAGTTCAGGAACAGGGAGTTGGGGATGGCAGGCACCCAGGGTCCAGGCCCCTCATGGGCTCTGTTTAAATATGAAGAATCGCTTTCCATGAAGCATGCACACGGCTGCTCTCCCGGGCTCCTGCGCAGCACAGGAAGAGCATTGTTCCGATTCCAATTCGAATGGACTCCAGCCAAACGAAAGGGCCCTTGCTATTTTGTTATTGTTTTTATTTTTTTATTTTTATTTTTTTATTTATTGTGTGTAAACTCGCCATTTCAACATCCTGGGTTCCAGGCTAGTTCTACTTCACTGCTTTCTTTTTCCTCCCCCCTGATATCAGATGGGGACCCACTGCACTTGCTATAGCGAAATTTCTCAGTGGTGTCAACTATTTCAGGGCTCAAAAATGAGGGCCGTTTCCTGCTCCATGGAGGGCAAGAGGGGATTACTTTTGGAATACTTTAGAAGAGAGAAATGTCCGTTCACAACCATTTCCATGGTAGCATTCCTTTCTGTTGCTGTGAGACTGTGGAATGAGACAGATTAATGAGAAGACCCAATGATATGCCATATAAACACTTTGGGATCTATTTTTAGTGTAATGTTAATCATCTATAGAGCAGGATGTATTATGAAATATTAGTATTAAAGTTATTACAAATGATACTGTGGCTAGAATAAATCACTCGGTAACCTTTAAACTAGGTACCCATGCTTTCTTTAAGTGGCCTGTCAATCAAAATGAGTACTGGGTATTATTACTCATTAAAAGAAAAGAAAAAAAAAATCTAACGTGTGGCTCTCTTTCTCACCCTCAGGACAGGGCTGTTTACTCCAGACATGGCGTTTGAAGCAATAGTCAAAAAGCAAATTGTGAAGCTGAAAGGGCCTTCCTTGAAGAGTGTAGATCTGGTAATGCAAGAATTAATCAACACCGTCAAGAAGTGTACCAAAAAAGTAAGCTTGAGTTACTGACCTTTCCAACATGTTTCTGTTCAGTTTACCCCTCTTTCCTACCCTGCTGCATGCCTCCCTTTGCCCAACTCCCTCCCCTCCTTCGTTAGAGAAGGTGGTGTGTTTGCTCAAGGGGAAGGTTGTGAAAAGTACTGAGTGGGGACTTGATCTCCTGGTAGACGGCATATTGCCTTCTATCATCCATTCCACATAGGTTGCTTAAGCAGGTCAACATCACGAAGAACAAGGTGAATGCCCTAAACTAACTTTCCTTTGGTCTATAGATGAGGGTAATTGTTGGGGGAAGGGAATCATTGATATTGTGTATATCGGCAAGAAAAGTTTCCTAAATTTACATGAATTCCACTTGAACCCGGACATTCTGGGAAGGGGCAGTGCCATCTAAGAGCTTAGCCTTGGGAACCTCGATTCAAATCCTGGCTTCACCTCTGTGTGACCTTGAATCCCTAGAGGTTTATCATTTCTCTGAAATGGGGATGATGATAGTAAATATAATACTACCTTCACTCAGATTAAACAAGATGATGCCTGAGAACCCCAGTAACTGCTCAGTCAATGGTGGCTAATCTGTCAATGGGCATTTCTCCCTGTAACACCTGTTGAACCGGGGGACTCCTCACTGAGGAACTTGGCAGGAGTGTGCTGAATTCCATCCGTCCTATGGGGACAGGAAAAGAAGGCCTTGTGCTGGAAAATGTGGGGAGGGCGTTAGTGATGATGTTTGGGGTGGGTAGACCTGGCCCCATTACCATTAACACGGTACTTTGATCATTTCTTGAAAGAATAGATACTTCTAGTTTGTCAGTTTTGTTGCTTTCCCCTTCCTGTATGGTACTATGAGTAACCTCTATGGAAATCCAGTGGGGAGCAGGAGAAAGAATGAGAGAGGCAGATACTGTGAATGAAGATGAATTTTGGTCCTTGGTGACTGGCAGAATAACTCAGATGAAGAAGAGATGCTAAGTGGTGAAAGAGGAAAGCAGGCGGAGGTCTTAGACATCAGTGCAAAAAAAGGTGTTTCGTGGCCAGTGTGGAGTCCAGAAAAGGCTCCAGAGCTGCACATCGGCTCTAGGCCTCTCCAGTTCTTCCACCAGGCTCCTTCCAGCCTACTCTCTCTTCTCCAAAATAAGCCATAGAAGCAGAGGGATTGAAGAAGGGGGAAACATGCACCTGGGGGAGAAAAAGCAGTCTACACCAGCTCTCCATTTGGGAACCTGAAGCCAGTTAATAAATATTCTCCCCGCCCCCTGTCTTTGCCTACCCCTCAAAATGCACAGAGTCTTGTCTCCTGACCAGTTAAAGCTCTCTTCATTGGCCCCCCCTTCACTGACTTAGGGAATTAACCAAGGTTGTGTTCTCCATCAGCCACCCAGCCTGTCTCCCTCAGCACAGAGGTCTTCAGCCAAAGGCTGTTCCGGTGCCCAGGCAATGCTGCCGCACCAGCTCAGCTGGCCTCTTTCTGAGGGCCCGTTGTGTTGCATCCATCCTCAAACCTGTTTAGCTAGTTGTGGTTCTTCTATAAACGATGTGGTTTAAATGAAGAGTAAGTAAAGTGATCAGATGCAGGCAAAAATGAGTTTTGTTCCTCCGAAAACTCAGCTTTGGGAGAGGCGTGGTAAAAGATTAGCTGCATAAGCTTTGCCATCGCTTGGGCCTAAATGGGACATGGTTAAAAGACGTGGGGGCGTCATAACAAACCTAGATGGGCTCTGCGTTCAGCTTCTCCCTCCGCTTTGAAGAAAGCAAACTTGTAGATAACGGATGTGGTTTTGGGAGACAGAAGACGCATAGCTCCCCTCAGTGGATCCACATGCTGGGAACGGCCTTGGCCTTACATCAGAAGGTTGGCACATGTGTGCACGTTTATGTTTTGAGTTATAGAAAGTGTTTATGGTATGTATGAATCATTTTTTTTTTTTTATCATTTCCCCATTGCATCCAATTTACTGGAAAAGCAGCAGTCAGTCCTGATGGCATGGGATGAGACAGCTTGTTCTGGACACTTGGTTTCTGTCCTTCGCTGTCCACCCTTTGAAAACCGCCCTTCCCATTATGCTCTCTGGATCAGTGGTGATTGTGTATTTGAACTGTCTTCTCAAAATATTTTACAGTTTGCCTTAAATGAAACCTCACTTTCCCCCCGAGATTATTGTTTACCCTACAGCTCTCTTCACTGAAGAGCATTTATTGGCCCAAACCCAAAGGATCTAGGGCCCAGATCATTCGTCATTTGCCTACTTCTTGTGTGGCTTCCAAAGATTGTGCATTAACTTTCCTGTAAAGTCTCCCATCACGTCCTTCGGCCTCTGTTTTCTTCCAACCTATCCGTCTCCTCCTGGTTTTATTTTATTTCCTGACCATTGTTATCAGTCTGTGTCCAATCAGAAGTGAATTGAGACCACAGCATGATTTTAAAAAAATATATTTTTTAATTGATTTCAGAGAGGAAGGGAGAGGGAGAGTTAGAAACATTAATGATGAGAGAGAAGCGTTGATTGGCTGCCTCCTGCATGCCCCCTACTGGGGATAGAGCCCACAACCTGGGCTGGTATCGAACTCGGCACCCTTCAGCCGGCAGGCCCGTGTGTTGTCCACTGAGCGAAATCTGCTAGGGCGACCACACTGTGATTTGATAACAAAAACCAAAACCTATCTGCTGCCCTATTCCTCTCCTTTTCTTTATGGCCAAGCTTTCTTGGGGAAAAAAAGTAGTTTATGCTTACTCTCTTTACTCCCTCATCTCCAGTTAGTTCCCTAACCCTCTGAAATTTGACTTCCACCCTCCTACCACTCTGCTGAAATAATTATGGCATGATCACCTAGAGACTGATTGCCAAATCTAATGATATCCTTATCCCTGATACTATGGTCCACTCTCTTTTTGAAGCTGACCCCTCTTTCTTCCATGGGTTCTCTTCCTTCTCCTTTAAGAGCTCATCCACTGTGGCCTGCCTCTGCACACTGATGTCCTGTGGAACTGGCTCCTGGCTTCCTTCTGTCACTGTCCTTCCTCCTGACAGAGCACATCTCCCACAGCCCAGCTGCCACGTAACATATTCTCGATTCCCAAATCTATATTTGAGCTTGAGCCTCTTTCCTGAGACTGTCTACTCTACAGACTACTGCAACTACTCTCTTAAGACACCGAGCATTTTTTTTTCTTTTTCTTAAAAAACTAAATTAGTCCATTGGCCTCCTAACTGATCTTTCTACCAGTCTGGCCATCCTCAAACTCATCCTCCCACAGCTGTCAAAGTAGCCCTCTACGATACGGACATCTATTCTCCCCGTTGTCTCCGTATTGACTCATTGGCTTCTCATACCTTGAGAGATTGTGCGTAGTTTTGCCCTCTGGTCTCTAAACACTTCTCCAGCCACACTTGTCATGTCTGTTACCTCCAGTCGTTCTGTGTGGTTTGCATGCTCTGGAAATGTTTTCAGGTCCTTAGCATTTGCACACGTGGCTCTCTTTGTTTAGAATGTCTCTTTTCCCTGCCTGTCTTCACCTGCCATCTCCTCTCATTTTTTAAGATCCAGTTCAATCATTGTCTCCCCCCCCCAAAAAAAAATCTTCCTGTGGGTCATCTGTGAGCCCTTTCCTGGTCCCCATCCTTACTTGCATTTCAGGGCTTCCAATGGTGCCCGGTGTTCACTTCATCATAGTAATAAAGACACTGCGTTGTCACTTGCGTGTCATTTCTTTGCTTAGGTGAATGCCTTTTATTGCTGATATAAGTGCCTTTTATTTATTTTAATTTTAAAATTTTTTGTTGAATTTATTGGTGTGACATTGGTTAATGCAATTATATGTTTTAGGTGTGCAATTCTATAAAACATTATCTGCATATTGTATTGTGTATTTACCACACAAGTCAAGTCTCCTTCCATCATCATTTCCCCCCCCTTATCTACTCCCACCTCTTCCACCCCACTTTTCCTCTGGTAATCGCCATACTATGAGTTTGTATGTATGAGTTTTTCTTTTATAAGTACCTTTTTAAAAAAGCTGTATCTTATATCTTCTTATCCCTGGGACCTATCCTAATTACTAAATGTACATAAGGGGCCTTCTACAAATATTAACAATTTAGATGTTCAAAGGAGAACCTGCTACTAAAGAAAGCTGTGATTTGTTTTTAAAGAATATTTTTATAATTCTTTTTAAAATTAAAATTTGGACAGGTTTTCTTTCAAATATCTATTCTTTGCCTTGTTCCTCATGTTGATGTTCTTGTTGTTTGGCCTTATTATGTCTGCCTTCATGTTCTTTTACTTCAGAACTGGTCTTACCAAAATCTTTTGCAAAGTAAAATAATTCCAATTAAAGTTGAGTAGGCCAGGACTTTATTACTTGACCCCTTTGCACATGAGCCACAGAAAGGTTACCATACAATTTATCATTTAACACAGTTCAGTCCTGAAATTGAAAGGGGAACTATTAATACTTTCCCTGGAATAATAGGAGTGCACTAAGACTCACCTGGTCAGTTTAACGTATAGTTGCTCTAGCTGAATTGTGACTTTATATGTAAAACAACCGTATTTTCATTTTCAGGTCCTCATGGTGCATGACTTATGTGTAAAATATTTAATTTCTCTTTCTTTAGCCACGTAAACAAACATCAGTGGAAAACAGGGGAATTATGTGTGTTCAAATAACAAAGCACAGAGCTAGATTCTAACCTGCACTTCCTCTGTGCCGTTCCTCACTGTGGTCTCTGGGAGGACAGGGCAGGAACATTCGAGCTTTATGAGCTGTCTGGTTTCCCTCCAGGAACATCCCCACTTCGGACTTTCTGGGCATCTGCTTCCAGCTGCTTTTCTTACCTCCTCTGCTCTAGAGCATCATCACAGGGTACTAAGGTTCTTTTCAGGAAATACAGAGGGGAACATCTTGTTTTTCAACCAGACTTTAGCAACTGTGCCATTTATTGGCCTCTTGGGAAACCACATTCTTGGATCTCCATCAGACCAATTAATTG